TCTGCCATTAAGGCAGGGCGGGGGGGTTGGCTCAGGGGCAGCCTCCCTGCGCGGGGGAGAGGCCGGTTTCTGCGCGAGTCTGTCCTGGATCAGTTCGGCGCCGGGTGTGGACGCGGAGGTAGTGTGGCTTGGTATATAGCGGGCTGAGAGAGGCGACTGGCCCGAGGGCACCCAGCTGGCTTCCGTGCCACTAAGGGAGGACTAAAACCTGGCCTCCCTGCTCTTAATCCAGCGCCTTTATCACGACACCACAACGCAAAACAGTGCAATGCAACGCAATTGTTTGTTGACTGGAGTAGCACGTTCCCCGATCGAAGCTGGAAGGCAGAGACCATCTGTTTAAAAATCAGGTGGTTGCAAAGTTGTGAAAGAGACAAGGTAGCGAAACGGAAAAAACAGAGGGCTTACTTAAAAAAAAAATGAATATGTGACATAAGGCTATTTAAGCAACACCTCCCTGGGACTGTAAAGCAGCAGGCAATTCTCAAGAATGTGGCAAAATGATAAAATAGTAAAGGGTGGGGGCCTGACTCAAGACCACCTTTGCTTTCAGTCTGAAATGTGGGGATGGGGCTGAGTGAGCCCCACGGGGTGCAGAGGTGATGTCTGGACTCTGAGGAGTGCTGGGGTAGAGAAATCAGCAAACAATACTTCATCCCCCATTGAAAATACCAAACCAGTTAAATTCCCAAAGTGACCTCATCCTTAAGCAAAATGCACAGATAACCGAAAGAGACTAGACAGGTGTAGTATTAACACAACTTAAGTTAGTTGGGACTCTCATGGAGATTGCTTTGCATCTGACAGTGCTTTGCCCCATCTGATTTTTTTAGGCTTAGATTTTTTTAAAAGTTTAAATTAATTTTCATTGTTTTAAATTTAAGAAAATGTGATGGCGTGTCAGCTTATTTTTATTTACAAGAATGTCTCTGGATGCCACGCAGCCCCCATTAAGCATTCCAAGAGCATCAACATGGCTTTGTTGGGATTAGAGAAAAAAGTCCACCATTGGAGCACATTCAACCTACGCTGAAGGTTTTAGGTAGAACACACTTCTCATCTCCTCCTTCTGATGCATCCTATCCCCCAAGGGCCTTCCCATCCTAGAAACTCTGCTGGCTTTAGCATCCGTATAATAAAAACCTGACTTCTTGATCCTGAGGCTTTCCAGATAGGTTGGGATTAAACAAATCTTGAGACCACCAGGATCCAGAAGCCTGTTGTAGATTCAGCAGCATGGAGTGTCCAGATTTGGTAGTTGAGATGAAGGACATGTTTGGAAAACTTCTATATTGACCCTAAAAATAATTGCCAGATCTTTCCCCTACTTGGATGTTGCTGACAACAATTCCTCCTATAACCATGGTGGGTTTTAAAGCACAGGGTTGCTTCCCTTTTTTTGGTTAAGAATTCAGTAGAAAAGTGTCTTGTGCCTACAAAAGGCTATTAACAATGTGAAAGGGCAGCTACCACACAAGATGGTGTTTTCGTGATCTTGGCTGTGTGTTTTCGCATACATTCACACGCTCAAATCTATAGCAGTTTCCCTTTTGGAGAGATACAGTATGTGCCAGAGACTCTGGGAAAAGAGATGTGAAGAAAAGAATGCAGCTGTCCATTCACACCAAGGGCCTCTTATAAATTCTGAATCCAGCTGATCTCCACCCATCCACGAGTTGGTTGAAAACATACCAGCGTGACTTTGGTTGCTCACAGCTGATCCTCACCTTGCCTCTATTCCCAGATGTTACCATTCACCTTTTTTTAAAAAAATATTTTTATTAAAGTTTAAAAATACAAAGATAAAAACAAACTAAGAAAAATATAAAAAGAAAAAGTGCAGAGAAAAAGAAAAGAAAAAAAAAGAAAAAAGATATATAAAGAAATGACTTCCCCCTTCATCAAGACAATTTCAGTAAATTACCACCTCCTCTAACATTTCATCAAAAGAGCTCTTCCCATATTTCATCTCTTATCTATAAGCAAATTATAAAGCCTCCTCATTCAGTCCTAATCAGCAAAAATCCATTAAGAGTTACCAAAAATAGCAACATATATATTTTAGCCTTAAATAAATCAATTACATATTTACCTTTACTTTTAACACAGTAACTTATCATTTTCTCTAAATATATCTTCTTCCCATCTCTTATCTATAAACCAATCTTTAAAGCCGCGTCATTCACATGTAGTCAAGAAAAATCCATTCAGAGCTACCAGAAACAATAACATGTTAAGAATCTTGATCTTTAGTCCCTTCAGTTAGTGTCCCACAAGATAATTTCTTATCATTTTCTCCTTGTCTCCTCTCAGAGACTCCTTCACAAGTTTAACACATACCAGAAATAACATCTATATTTTAACCTTAATCAAATAAGCCAACTTTATATTCCTTCTTTCTGCTTTAAAAATCTTGACGTTTATTTCCTTTAAATAGTGTCTCAAAAACTTATTTTCATTTTCTCTTTGTCTTTTCTCAGGAACTCCTTCATGAGTATAACACATCTCTTTTGTAAGTCTAAGATAAGAGAGGGTTTTTTTTAATTTAT